ACAAGTTGCTGCGGACACACACACACACACAGACGACCCCGTAACAATATGCGTTTTGTACTGCTGCTACACAGCACAAAACGCATAATAACAGTATAATAATTGCCAAGGCAATCCATCAGAAGAAAAATAAAGCAAAATATTACAGCCAAATAGAGAATGAAGGAGATTTAGAAGCAATCAGTGCCTCGCTGATGAACTTTTTTAGCACACAAAACGAGCAGAACAATAAGCAACCAGCTCGATCTCCAAAGCAATTTAATATGCGCTAACAAGACCGCGGAGGACCCGCGAAATCGTGGTAGAAATTGAGTGGAAATTGCCTTATAAAAGCTCGCCCTCAGTAGTGGGCTCCCCTATTTATGAACCCAATGCTTAGGTAAAGCTAACATCTCTCAACCTTGCTTAGGGGAAGGCGCATGCTGTTCTCAGATACTTAAGAGGTTTTGCATGTAACTGAAATGTTTCAACTGCTCGTCGTGAAGCACTAGGGGGGTTGATAGCACAAAAGCTGACGCGTATTACGCTTCGAGGGATCCGGGAGAAAGTGAAATTACGAGAATTCAGCAACCCGGAAAGCTGGGAGATTAAAACTTTGGATATATGTTCCTACCCCGTGTGTTATCCTCCCGTATTAAGGTCTTTCCCCATACACGCCTAGACCCCGCGTACGGGATTCCCATTTTAAAAAAGGGTTTTATTCACAGTACAAGTACCATAAACGATGATTTAAAAAGTTTATACGAAACGAACACGTTTTTTGGTTATAGCGGTGAATGCCTTGGAACATTTCTTCTCCGACATCGCACACATCAGAAGCCTATTCATCGCTTCGCTCACAGCGGCTCGTGCCACATCGGTGCTGCTCATTGTTTCTGAAATTCAAGCGTTTTTGGGGAATTATCCCCCATATTCTGAATGATCACCATTCCCAACGCATAAAAAATATTACCCGAATAATACCCAATAATACGTGGGAATACTACCCAAAATATTTTCAACCCATAAAACGCTACCCAACAACATAGCATAGTCCATCACATTCCGCTCAATCAGCACTCCTCAACTTTCGGGAGGGGCAAGTTTGCCCGCCGAGGGACCCTAGGACGTAGGCACCCCGGAGGCGACAGATCTCAACTAACTACCCTTGAAGCATCAGTGTCATAATAAATCTCAGAAGCACTACCCTTGCACCAGAGATCCCAAACATCATCCTGGCCACTTGTTCCCCGCGCCCCTTTCCCCCTCCTCGTCCTCCCCCCCTCCCTCCCCTCTTACCCCCGGGCATCATAAAATGTACGGTACACACTAACCCATCTAGCACAACCACAATTATCCAAAAACACTGTCCCGGCCATAACCCTTAACATCACCCTAGCTACCCTAATTGTACCTAAATCGCAAACACAGAACCCCGGGCGGCGGCACCCGAAATACCCTGCCCCCTGGCGCCAGCATCACGATTCCCCGGGAATGTTACCCTGGTCAGCGGTATCACAAGTCGTAAGATACCATCTCGTGGACCCCGGGGTACCTCAAGTCCCAGGCACGCGGCCCCAAATCCCAACCACATCATAGCTGTACCCCAACCCCAAACCACGCCAGCCAAGACGCCGAACCGGCCATGCCTCCGCTCGTCATCTACGTGTG